ACTTATTTGTTATAAAAAGTGCATTTTAAAGCTTAGACTGGTACAAAATGTGCTTGTGTTATTTTATTTATTTATTTAATTAATAATTTTTGTGTTTCTGTAGCCGCTGAGGGTAAACGGGGTGAAAGTTTACACAGAAAACGTAGACAAGAGACAGGTCATCATGGACCTACAGATCAGGTAATCCTCCCACGCTCACCAAAGTTTGACTGATTCTAATCTCTAATTCTTTTAACTTTGTGTGTGTGAAGTTCTAGTTTCATAATGCAGAAAGCATTTTATATCAAACATTATTTAAAGTCATCACTTTGCTTTTTTTATTCGTTTAGTTTTGTTGGAAACACAGAAATTGACGTGAACATCAAGAAGTACTACTGCAAGGCTGGAATCAAAAGTATTCAGGTATGACTGTCGTGTTTCCTTGTTTTAGATTTTAATCCAGTTATTTACCTGTGGAGTTCCTTTAAAATTCATCTTAATGAAGTAAATAAATCAGCTGCTTCTTTCAGTCATCACCAGCAGATGCAAATACGGGATGAACTGACCCTCACACCTGCAGCCATGACCCCTGCTTTAACCTTCGACCCGAGCAGAGCGAACTTTATGTAAAGTGTTGACGCTCAGCTGATAAAGCAGAYGTTATCCACTCAGCTGTTGGAACAGGATCAGGCCATATTTGCTGTTCAGAGATCAGAGAAGCGGGGAAAGTAAGCGAAGATTTAGAGGGAGAAAACYGCTGCCTTCACAGAACTCCGTCAATATTTACCTGCTGAGTTCATTTCATAGCTGCTGTTTGAGCACTTTTTACARGCTGTCAGAACAATGAATGGTTAAGACATCACCAGTCGTTCATTATTTTTGGTTTTATTGGTGCCACGGCTTGTATTTATAGAACTCTTCTTCCTAGTGGATCCCTAATGGGGCCATTATCGGCCGCTCATAATTTATAAACCCTCCCCGTTCAGAGCTGCAGGAGGAAGGAAGCGGCCATAAACAGACGTCTATCTTCCATCTTTTCCACTGCAGACTTTGATGAGCTGCTGTTTGATAGAGCGAAGCTACGTCCTAATTTGGTCCTGCAGCCAGGCGGTCTGCATGTCGGAGGTCTGAGTCACCGCAGCATGAAAAAAAAAAAGAAGCATCGACCTACAGCAGCTTTCTGCCTCTGTTTGGGCTTCTTCACATGAAACCTGGTCTGATAAACCTGTTATCAGATACCCCCCGAGGGATAAAATGTATCAAAGGAACGGGAGCGTGGAGACCCATYAGGGGACTCAGATGGACTCCAGGAGTTGTTAAAGCACAAACTGATCTCTTATACATGACCTCGTGTGTTTTCCCTGCAGCTCCACGGAGTGTTGAGGGTGGTGATGGAGCCTCTCCTGGGGGACATGCCTCTGATCGGAGCCCTGTCCGTCTTTTTCCTCAAAAAACCTGTGAGTGTTTTCTCATCCTTCATCTCAGACCTCACTGTTCTCTTACAGGAGGACCAGTAAAGAACAATGCATTAAAAGCTACAAACAGGAAAAAGTACTCGTACTGCACAGTACAATGCATAATGTGAGCCACCTTTTGCATCTGATGTTGCTCCTTCTCGTCAGACTTTTCTTTTAAATGGTGCACATTACGGGTCAGTTTTGCCAGCCCGGGACCTGATAGGTTTTCAATGCACTCCAATTCTTCACCAGCCTCCRTTCTTCACCAAAAGCAAATAAAAATACGCCCAGAAAACAAAAAACACCTAATTACATATCGGATTCAGCCCATTCCTGTCCAAACCACAGAGATGCCTATTCACATTGGATCAGTATTATCACAGGACCTCGGAGTTCAGCAAAATATAGTAGGTAATTTGTAGGGAATATTTTCTTTACAGATTACAGACATGGCCGATTCCCATGGAATTTAACAACAAAGACCATCTCTGTAATTATTACAAACAGCACAGGGTCCCTAGGTAAAATTATCCCATCAGAATAGGGCCTCATATGTTCAGTCAGACTGTAGGAGTAACTCACCAAACGAGATGGGAGTCGTCACAGCAGGTCTGATGTACAGAGAGATGATCGTTTGATCAGCTGGTTCAGTGAGTTCCTCTCCCTGGAGGGCAGGTTAATGAAAAACTCACTCAATAAAAGCTTTATAAAACAGTATCAACATTACTGTCCTTTAACTCATCAACCACTGGATGAAAGTCCCAAAAAGCAATTAATGAATACAGTGTTGTATGTTGTCTTTTATGGTGCGGTATGAGGGCCAAAATTAAGACTATTGTATAACCAGCAGTTGTTACGGCTACATGAGGCTTCATGTTGAACAGTAAAGGTTTTATATGTCAACCATTTTTCTTAGTTTTCTTTATTCAAAAAAAGTTTGTGTTTAAAGGGGCAATATTATGTGTTTCTCAGGCATATATTTAAATACTATACCATAATAAAGTATCTATGTGACATTTAGCTGTTATTAAAATGCTGTTTTTATGTTT